CGCTTGGTACTTGGTACTTGGTAGTGCAATTTAAGATTAATGAAAAAAATTCCATGTCAAACGTCAATGTGATGTGCTAGCTGCTGCTGCTGCATGTATAAATTAGCATTTTAATTGGCCAGTGTTTAGCCACCGCATTAGGATTAAGGTTTAATTAAATCCAAAATCAAAGAAAAATTAGACAAATGGAAAACAATGTAACATATATAGTTATATACCTTACCTGTTGAGACCGACATGCGGAGCAAGTAGACGCAACTGCAGGCCAAAACCGGGGCGGGGATTATGGCAACTGGGTTTTGTTAGCAGTTGACAATAATATTCAGAGTCATCGAATAAATAGCGAAAGTTTTGTTGCAAAACCCTTACGTTGCCAAAATTCTAAAGTCGAAGAAGATTCATGCTAGTTCAAATTAGGGTTTTGGGGACCAGTCGTACCAGTGAAGATGGGCGTGAAACATACCATTTGGTGATGGCTCTTCCCATGTGACAGATTGTGGCACCAATAAATTGGTTGCGTGCATAGTGACTAGAGATTAAAAAAAAAAAAAAAAAAAAAAAAAAAAACTCCAAACCCTACGGCCATCAATGTGGTAGTTCGCTCATTGATACATAATATTACAAATGCATTCACGCGTGTATTTATCTATGTTACTATAACCTAATTCCATGATATATTGATCATGTCGTCTACAAATATTTTATAACAAATGAATTAGTAACATTACATGATAGTGTGATAATGAAAATATTCCTACTCTTGGTCTTAATTGGATGCATGCATGTTTAATAATTAGGAGGTATTCTATTTCTGCTAATTATTCGTTTAAAACATGTTATGAATCAATGATCCAAAAATTAGGTTTGCTTTTTTGTTTCCCATAGAAGTTTCATTTCTCACTAAAACTGAAAAAAAAATAAAAAAAGAGCGACCCACGGGGGGTTTCACTTTTTCTAATATGGAAAATCATTAGTCACAAATCAATTAGAAATATGGTGGCAAGTAGCTAGAGTATATTTGCCATTTCGTTTATGGTATTAACGTTGCTAGTCAATTACTAGCTACAGACTGAGAGGAACACCACCACCAGTACCACCAGTACTCATACACATCATGATCATATGAGTTTATTATGAAGGGACTTTGTTTGGCTTTCTTGCTTTCCTTTTTTCTATCCTTTAGAAAAGGGACTTTGAGGTTTGGACTAATGCGATTCTCCGCACTAAAACAAGAAAACAAATGCATATGGGAAGTGTGGTCCTTTAGAACTTTATTTTGATGACGATGGATTAAAAATGAGAGCTATTATTAATACTCTAAAAAAATGATTGTGCAACTTAAGTATACAGAAATATAAGAAACAATATGCTTATCATAGGAGTGGAGAAAAGCTTTAATTTTGAAGTATTAATAAAAGCTCTCAGCTCAACATAGAAACTTCTATCATATATCTCACATATCGTACATATAGTAGCGTTCAAACCCTAACCAATTATAATAAGTTAAAACGACTTTACCTACTTGTTTGAAAACCTCTTGTTAATTCGGGACTAAACCCTACTGTCCTGTCCCGTAATGCTGGTCTAAATTAGTGTTCCAAGATAGTTGTGCGGCAGAAAGGAGCATTTTCAGCTGGCCTGGTGGTGGTCTGTGGCGGAAATATGACAACAACAGTCGTGTTAATCTTCATGTGTGAATCACGGGTTTGTATTGCTGTTTAGAATGCCACGACTCACAATGTCACATCTCCCAACTTTTGCTAATAATTTACATCAGCCTCAAATTTGGACCTGGCATTACTGCGGCAGCTCACAACAAACTAAATGGATAAAGTTGGGCTGAATGCATGGTGAAGCCCAACAAGGCCCAACAGAACAGCATCATAAAAATCTTTTTGTCTTCCCCAGTAGTGCACTAGTTGAGTCGTTGACGGTATAATTTTCCAGTTCTGCATCAGAGTTTTAGTACTTCAGAGATTGACCAAAACCCAAAACGCTATACTCTTAACACTAAACCTAAACCCTAAATTCTGTTATATTTATTATAAGACATACCTAATAAAATTAACGAATTCCAGATCATCGTCACGTTCTTAAGAATCGTTGCAAGAATCACGAACAAGAGCGTAAAGAAAGATTCCATTGCATTTAGTACAGCTAGATTACCTATGTACCTTGTGCCAGTGCACAATGATCAAACAACCGTAATTATTAGTAGCCTCCTAATTCTAGGGCAAATTGATACCCTAGAGGCTAAACTAAGACAGAATGAGATTAATGAAAGTGCGGAGATATTTTCCTCTCAACTACGAGTTAAGAGAATTGTTTCTCTTGATGTGTAAAGACGAAAATGACTTACCATCATATGCAACATTTTCTTCGTATGCTATTATATTATTGAATCAAAACGCTACTATGTGATTAGAAATGCAAGAGTCAACAATATACAATGCATTGTTCTACCAAAACACGAAACCATTACATGACTAGCAACTGCCAATCAGTCACCACATTATCTAAGTTAAGGTGCAAAAGGAAAGTGTGGCTCCTTTAATAATATTTAATATTTCCAATGTGGAAACATAGCCCTTTAAGGGGCTTGTATGATGATAAGGAATCAAAACTTTATGGAAAGCCACATCAATAGGCTTTACTAACATCGACGTGTTACCTAATCACACTCACATTTCCTCATATTTTGTCTCTTCGGTTGAATGAATCAAATAAGATACAACGAAAATAAACGATGAAAATAGTGTCGGAGAAAAGTACGGGAGCGTAAACATCACTCCGCTACCATGTAATCTTTTGCAGTTAGTATACTTTGGCTACATGACATGTTAACTGAACCATATGAACTCTTGTATATAAATGGTGATCTTGTTTAACAAAAATACATTCAATTCTTGCGGCAAAAGCATCAGAAAAGCATTACGTAGTATTAGGGCAAACAGAAGAAAGAGGAATTGAAGAAAGCTGAGGTTCCATCATAACATCAATTGGTTTTATGGTGAAACTCTAATTTTCTCCATAGTATCAGAGCAGACTGGTCCACGTGTGAAGCTCAAAGGCCACACATGCTCCACATCACTTCGTTTGTGTTGTCCATGTGTTAGGCTTGAAAATTCGTCATGGGTAAGTGGACATATGAGAATGTGAGGACAAAGTCCCACATTGGTGAGGGACCAAACCTGCAAGGGCTTATAAGAGGTTGGATTTGTCACATCCCAGCCTGAGCCCCTACCACATCTCGGGCTCGACTCCATGGTAGCACGATATTGTCCGCTTTAGGTCCCGACCTCGCCCTCATGGTTTTGTTTCAGGGAACTCAGACAAAAACTTCCCAGTGGGTCACCCATCTTGGAATTGCTCTCGCGCGAACTCGCTTAACTTCAGAGTTCCTACGGAACCTGAAGCCAGTGAGCTCCCAAAAGGCCTCGTGCTTGGTAGAGATGGGAATATATACATATAAGGCTTACAGGATCCACTCCCCTGGACGATGTGGGATGTTACAATCCACCCCTCTTAGGGGCCCGACGTCCTCGTCGGCACAATTCCGGCCAGGGATTGGCTTTGATACCAAATTGTCATATCTCGCCCGGGGCCCCCAGCACATCCTGGGCTTGACTCCACTATAGCACGATATTATCCATTTTGGGCCCCTACCACACCCTCACAGTTTTGTTTTTGGGAACTCACACGAGAACTTCTCAGTGGGTCACCCATCTTGGGATTGCTCTCGCGCGAACTCGCTTAACTTTGAAGTTCCTACGGAACCCGAAGCCAATGAGCTCCCAAAAGGTCTCGTGCTAGGTAGAGATGAGAATATACATATAAGGCTTATAGGATCCACTCCCTTGGACGATGTGAGATGTTACATGGTTACTTCCCATACTGTGAAGAAAGTTGGGGTTTTATTATAAAACCAATTGGCAATATGGAGAGTAGTCTAACCTTTTACAAGCACATTCAAATTCTATCATTTATCAGATGTGAGATTGATACTTTCAACTGTGATAACAACATTTGAAACAACAAGATTCTTACCTATCAAATGTTGTATATGCTCGCAAATGAGAGAGATTCTTAGCTATCAGAAGTTGTATACGCTCACAAACGAGAGATAAACTCAAGGGTGTATACAATGACTTGGAATCATGCAAACCACATCTTTTCCCAAACGGAATATTCAGAAGCCAATCAATCAAACCCAAGAAAATTAAAGAAACTGACACAGGTCCTAGAACAGAGACCCTCCTCCACATTGGTGGACACAGCATTTACCTTCAATTGGATCTGGAATTGTATTTAGGGGTCCAACCTAATCATCCTTCATACTAGTCTTCTTTAAAACACGAGCTCCACCTAGCAATAGTGACCCAAATTTCACTTTCAATGTATTAAAGTCAAGCCATTATTTGCAGCTTTTTTCCCTTTGAAAAAAGCAATAAAAGGATCGCACTCTTACCCAAATTCGATTGAAGTCACTTCCCACTGCTTGCAAAAATTCCCAGCATTTATACTTAGTTGGGGTTGCTCTGTTTAGCAAGAAACCCAAATGAATTTTGCTAGCTGTACATTGGTTTGCAAAGCAACTGCCCAAACCTATGTTCTTATTTTCTATGGTACCATTATTATCCATGTCACATGTGCAGTAGAGCTGCGGTCCACTTCGTATGTAAAAGATGACCACAATTCAGTTTGGATTAGTTTCACCACCAAATCACGACCAAATCTACTAACTATTAAGCAAAACGGTTGGTTCAGTCTAAAAATACACATTTTTATGTTAAAATCAAGTCAACCCCGTCAGAGTGGTTTGATTCGATTGGTTTAGTGTCCATCCCCAAGTTTGGCCAATTTTTTGACCAGATTTACTAACAGTTAAGCAATGCGGTTTGCTTTGTTTCAAGATTAAACATTTCAATGTTAAAAGCGAACCAAACCACTTAGAGTGGTCGGATTCGGTCGGCTTTGTGTCCACCCCTAAATTTGATTGATTGAGAAAAGGAAAGCATATATATTGAGTTGATTCATGTTAAGAGGCAAAAGAAGGCAAAAGAAAGCATAACAAAGTAAGCAATAACATTCTAAGTTACAATTGCTTCTAACTAGAGAAGTTATGTTGTAAGGTTCTAAAACGAAGGGATCTTTAGGGATCAAGTCAATAACAGAAACATCAGTAATTGCAGAAATCCACTAAGCCACCAGAACCCATCAATGCCGAAGCTTGAAATTCCCAAAGAAGTAGTGTAATGTGAATTCTCATTCAAAATCTCATCACCCAACTCTGTTTTTGAATTGGGTTTGTCAACCAATGTGACCTCCTCCTCCCCCTGCTGACATGGCCTCACCCCAAATGGGACATGGCCTGCTGGCACCATTCCACTGACGTAACAGAGATTAGGGTTGTTCCAAGCTCCAAAACGACTCCCCATTTTGTGATAAAACGACTCAGAGAATTTAAGCTCCCCTGTGAGGTTGTTGCCATGGAGGTAGAGTGCACTGAGGCAGGGCAAAGTTGCAATCTTTGGCAAGAGGTTGCCCGTGAGCTTGTTGTCATTCAGACCTAAAAATCTCAATTTTTTTAGGTTTGAAATTGAATCCGGAATCTCACCAATTAGACCTAATCCAGAGAGGTCTAAAATTACCAATTTCTCCATGTTTTGCCACTCTAGGGTTTTGATGTCTCCACCAATTGGGTTTTTGGACAAGACCAACTCTTCCAAGGAATGCATTTCTTCAAGTGATTTGGTCAACCCACCTGAGAAATTGTTGCTCCTCAGGTCCAATAAAGTCAACATCTTTAGATTACCAAACCCCAAAGGTAGCTGCCCTTCCAGTTGATTGCTGCTCAAGTCAAGCTTCAGGAGTGAAGTCAAACTTCCAATGGTGATTGGCAAAGGCCCGGATAGTGAGTTCCTACTTAAATCAAGGATTAACAGCTGATTCAATCCACCAAACCCACCGGGTATTTGGCCCGTAAACCAGTTTCCGGCTAGAACTAGCCGCTTCAATCGGACTAATTCACCGATATTTGTTGGTATTCCACCACTTAATCCATTCTCTACTAGCACTAATGATTGGAGCTTTCTGAGGCTGCCAAAGGTTGCAGGAATTTGTCCAGTGAGGCCCGGATTCGATCGAAACTCTAGCGATTCTAAGCTGCCAGCAAGGTTCCACCAGTTTTCTGAGGGGATTGGAACTGGATGTTTGTGGGGTGAGAGGAAGCAATTGAAAATGGATAGGGATTTTAGGTGCTTCAAATCAAACAGTTGTGGTCTAAATCTTGCACTTGGGGAACAATTTAGGGAGTTGTCAAGAACAGGTCCAATATTCATGGAGGTCACATACCAAACCCCATCATACAAATCACAAGACACCCCCTGCAGTGGAAATTGAAAAACTCGTATCAAACGTTAGAAAGGTTACAACTTTTGACCTATTACGAACACGCAAAATGTTAACTGACTGAACCCTAACATAAAAAATACACATCGACTTCAAAGGAAAAACCCGTGTAAGTAATTGGGACTTGTTAAAGAGTCTTTCTACTATACTATACATTGTTATTTAAGTGACTCGGATTCACCCGTTAAATTTCTCGAAACTCTAGTGATTCTTAGCTGCCAGCAAGGGTTAAGCACAACATTGGCATTTAACCTCTTGTCGAGTACAAGTAAAAACCAAAAAGGAATGTAAAGTTGGTAACTTTGGATTTAAGCAATGTTGCAGAGAGACAGTACACAAAGTGGTGGGGGTAAAAAAAAAAAAAAAGTACCTGTATAGGAGTCCACCCACAAGGATCCGGATAGAGGTCTGAACCATTCCACCATTTACCCACAAAGCCTTGTACTGCAGAGTACAGAGCTTCCTGCTCTGTTTTCTCCATCGGAGCTACACCTTCATCTGCTTCCTCAGAACTCCAAACACCCACAGAGAACAGAAAGATTACCAAAATCACAAGACTGATGGGAGTAAAACCCTTCATGGATTTGAAGTAAAAGTCAATAAATCCAGAGGGGAATTTGATTAGGACAGAGTTAAAGAAAAGGAGTTGAGAGATGGAGTTTATGGGAAGAAGAAAACCATGAGAAACTGACCCAAAAGAGAAATGGATTTAGGAAGCAGAAACTACAATCATGGATGTGATATTCATGAGAAATATCGACATGGGTCCCTTGTATATATATCTATATATATGTTCATATGAGGCAAATCACGAGTGGTTTGGGGCCCAAGCAGAATTTGAGAAAGATCCAAACGTGTTTGAAGGAAAAAGGGAAGAAGCGAAGAGGAAAAATACAGAAGCAGAAGCAAGAAAGCTGAGCTCTCTGGTCTACTTGTTATGCTTATGGAAAAGCTAAGAAAGTATATAGAGCAGGCAGAGAGACAGAGAGAGGTTCAAAAGCACAGTTCTCCAAGAGCAACAAAGAAATAACAATTATTATTAAGATCAGAATAGAGTAGTAACTATAAGGACTAGAGGGTGAAAGCGAAAGGATTCGGCGCTGCTTTCAATCTCCTAATAGTCTTATCAAACTTTTAATTTATTATTATTGATTATCATTTTCAGTTAATTCAAACGATATTCTAATATGATGTAAATAAAATTACGAAAAATCGGGTTTAAACTTGAGTTTAGAGAGAGAACATTAGTTTAGTCAGCTTGACGCACTTCTAAATCTGCTCGAATAACTTGGTTACACGATCAATTCTGCATTGATTTTGCGTATGTGGTTGAGACGCTCGTTTCATTGCTCTCAAGTTCGAAGTTATGTCTAGTCAAAATAAAAGTAGTTGCCTTGTATACCATTATGTTCATTAAAAATGGTTATTTTAGTCAGTTAAAAGGGTGTGGTAGTTGGAGGTGGGTTGTTAAGATTGTGAGATTAGTTATGGTAAAGGGATAAGGATTTCTAGGGTTTTGCAGGATTTGGGGCAGAGGGAATAGGGGACCATATGTCCATGCAAAAACAGAGAGAGAGAGAGAGAGAGAGGAGGGGGTGCATGCAAGTACATGCAAGACAAAAAGATGTGTTTTTATCTCTCAACGCTGCCTTCTTGTCTGCGTTGGGGGCCTTGGGCTTTTCTGCTTTTGGGTTTTTAAGTGCTTTCTGAAACATGGAGAGGAACAAGACAAAAACTGCATTGAATCTCCAAAAAAAAAAAAAAAAAAGACCGTATGGCTCCAGATGGGTTTGAGAAATATGCTTCAAGTTCATACTGTTATGGTGTATCTTGGAATTGAACCATAGTTACCAAATCCAAATTGTTCCGCCTATTCCTTTCTTCATGACCAAGAGCAATAAAACAACATCCTTCCTCTGTTTGAAAGATGTAATTATACACAAAATATGAGAAAAACGAAACTGTAATGAAATTTCAAACTAAACAGACATTGTTACACTTATTAACTTTCTAGTATAGCAGTTGATAATTGATTTAAAATACCGTTAATGCTCAGTATTTTCCTTACCAAAATAGAAATTAATTTGACTTTCCTTCATGGAATTATACGAAATCAATTCATATGGACATTTTTGTGTTTTTAGGGGAGAAAGGATTTTTATTGTGAGTTTTGTTAAAAGTTTACTCTCTAGTATAATGGAGATTAATGGTTGAGTGACATATTGGTTCTTTACATTGAGCGAGGGCTAGAAGTGTATTTTTAGCAAGGAAAAGCACTCATGTCTAAGTTGATAGAAAACTGGACTCTCTTTCAAATAGGTCCTAACTCCAAGACTTATGAGGATCTGATTGTATCAAATCTCAATAGTTGAAATGATCACTTTTCATATTTTTACCTATTTTGATAACATTATAATGAGACGTTTGTGGGATAAAACTTGTCATAGACAATTGGAGTTTGTATTTTTGCGTGTTTTGTGAATCATGAATGATAATAGTATCATTAAATTTTGACGTATGTTTGTCTAACAATAAAAAAAAAAAAAGGAATATTTTACATGATTTTTTCTTTTTGCAAAATTTTTATAAATTCGCCATTGAACACAACTACAGTGGCATCGCGTGTTTAAATTGTCCTCGTACTACTAAACATATACCTATCAACATAACTGAATTTGGACAACTCCTAGCTCACCATTCTCGTTTGCCTAAAAAAAGGAGCGTAGTAGCGTTTTAAGATTTATAGCCGACTTCACTTAATAGATAAAACTTGATTATTGTTGTTAGTTGCTTATGGCCTTAATTTTTGTGGACAGGATTAAGGCCATCATTGAATCTACAGTCAAATAATGAAGTAGGGAAGATAATAAAAGACAGGACAGAGAGTAATGGTCCAATCCAACCTTCCAAGATGTTCTCTCTCTCTCTCTCTCTCTCTCTATAATAAGGTTGGGAAAAAGTTATGTCCACGGGATGAAGGAAAGAAAGGTGAAGAAGCAGAAGCAGCTGTGGAAAAATCAAACAAATAAAAGCACTTTTGGAGTTTTTGATGGGGAGGACGGAGGAAGAGGACCACAGTGTCTCAGTGGAGGCTGGAGATATGGGAGGGAGAGAGATGGAGGGCTATCAGAAGGCATAGCCCCAGCTCTACTTAATTGTTTTCTGGGCAGGCCTAGTACAGTAGGATGATAAGTCCTTTTCTACACAAGCTTCTGTAGCCAACTGTGAACAGCTGAAATATCAGTTGAAAGATATGGGTCTTAAGTTTGCAGTTTCATGTTTTCAATAATCTCATTGAGTAGAGACTCCATGGTTGTGGCGTCGGTGCTACTAGCACTCATTGCTAAGAGTGTTTTAACCGTTAGATATGATTTCTACAACCATTAGAACTTTTAGTTTTAATCTAAACCATTCATTTTCCGCAGCATTTAATGCTAAGTAACATTTAATCTCAAATTTAAGAAAATTCTAAGAGTGCTTCAATATATATGACAATCTAAAAAGACTAAGAGAGCGACGAAATCGCCATTTCGACATTAGAGTTACAAAATGAGAACGAAAAACAGCTAAGAAATCACACTGAAGCTAGTCATTACAAGGTTTACAAGATGGTAATGAGAGAGTGGTTTTCGCCATCACGTTGTCAAGAAAGTCCAGATCTTCTTTCCTATTGACTTCTCGCCCGGACGCTCTTCAACTTCCTCGTCATCATAATCATCGTCGCTCTCGCCACTTGTATTGTTGCCGCCACCAGATTCCGGTGTACCATTATCTTCTGCACTCAACTCTGTATTTTCAACTGATTTTGCTGCATCAGCTTCAGCATTGTCATCAACGGTTCCTTTTGGTGTTCTAAACTGCAGTACATGAAACACAGGTTACCAGACCTTATCCACACAGTTCTACACGTTTCGGCTAAAACCGTCACAGATTACAAAACACCGAAAAAGGTAAGAGGGACATGACCCTCACAACCCGCTCCTGTGAGAATTCCACACTTTTCAATGTGGTGACCTGCATCAACTGTGTAGTCCGCCCATTCTCACCAGCTGTCCCCAACGACGATACAGAAACAGATTCAGGAATTGGTTCTACACCACCACCTCCAGTTTCTTCCTTATTTACCGTCTTCAGGTCAGCCGCGGCTGGTGCTGCTGTGACTGATCCTGTACTGATCAACGTTCATAGACCAATTTAAAAATTACAAAAAAAAAAACCCCCAAACATTTCCTCACATGGTAAAGCATAGAAAATGCCAACACTCAACACCTCATGCAAGATCACTTAATTTGGACAGTGTATGACAGATGAGGTCATATGTAAAACCGTAAAAATTCACGTCTTCCAATATAGATACTTCGTTAATTCAATTATTAACTACATAAGTTTATCCCTGTTTATCATTTAATCTTCCTTTATTTGTTTTTCGATGTTTACATTTTCCCAAACCATCAGAAAGAACCAAATTATTCTCCTATGCAGTAACAATTTAGTAACAAGTACTTCATAAGCAATTTCTCTTCTTAGACAGAACATACCGAATGCTTTAACTGATCAAGGAGCAATATTTCAGAATAACGGTCAGTAAAAGTGTCACTCCAGGACTAATCCGAAGCTGGTTAGGAATTTATTTGTCCGGCACCTAGTGGAAGACTATGGAATAGATTATTCAGGGTTCTAACAAACATTCTATTTCATGCATTGACTGAAAGGACCTGGACAAATTAAGTGCTCAGTTAATATTCCATTGCAAGAACAGAAATGGGTCAAAGAATGGTTCTTCTCAGCCCAAAAAGGAAAAAGAATCAAATGGACTACAGTGATAAGATTAAGCATAAGTTTGACATTCAAATCCGTACTTGGTGTACGCATCAGAATATCACTAATCTCAAAACTAAAATTGATAAGGGAAAAAAAGGGCCCAACAATTTTATATAAACATAACTACTGAAAGCAAAAAGATACACGCAGAGTTCAACCAGAAATTAATAAACAATCCAAAATTAATACCATGTTGAAATCCAATTGTCCTTGAAGCTTAAGTTGATTGGAGACAAATGTAACAATGCATGAAGAATAACAGACCGACAAGAAGTCTATTTAGAAATTTAGATAGACACCCTTGACCCAAGTTGGCCCTAATATTATGATCACGCCATAGAAACTGCAAGCATTAATTTGTTATTTACTTCCATATTAGCTTCCACTGCGCCGTATAAATTCATACTCACATTAAGCAACTTACGTCTTGCGATGTCTGAGATTATATCGCTGCTCTCCAGGTGTTTGCACGGAGGAAGCAATGGGTTGTCGCCTCTTCCTGCGCCCACCAGCTGTCGTGACACTGCCAGAACATCCTTCGCTGTCACAATTATCTTGCTCACTTTTGGTAATCCTAGAGCTCTGAGCACGCATTCGTTTCCTCCCAACGCTACTATTAGCTTTCTCAGCAAAACTGGAATCACCCCGACTTTCTTCATGATTGTAACTACTATCATTAGGCAGCATACTTGCATTTGATGGTTCTTCTGGAGTATCTCCTATTGCATTTGATGGTTCTTCTGGAGTATCTCCTAGAAATTTCTTTGCCTCTTCAAGTGTTGCCTTCACGATGCGCGTCCTAGACAGTCTGGACTTACGTCCCCTAGCCGGTATTTGCCGATCACTCTTCAGCTCGGATTGCTCGGAATCATCAGGAACATCTTTCACCTTACTGTCAATGAAGCTATGATCATCAATTGATGGAGCATACCCATCATCCACTTCCATGGTGGTGTTATCAGATGGTAGTGGTTGAGCACTAGAGTCATTAGGCACCCTAAAGGATGCCCCAGCTTCATCTTCATGACCGATGTGCCCTCTTGCTCCCTCATTGATAAGCATATTAGACTCGTTTCGTTTCTCTTCAGTATTAACTTGAATAGTTGATAGTGGGGGCAACTCTGAAGACCCTGCATCAGTAATATGCTCCATTTTTTTAATTGGAGATACTTTAGAAACAACTGACTTGCATTTGCGCAGCAAAGATGTTCCCCATCCTGATTCTGTGTATTCCAAATCAGGAACACCTGAATCAGCTGGAGAGTTATTTAAAAAATCAACATTGATCCTCGGCAGAGAAACAGCCTCAACTTGGAACACTGCTGGTACCTGGAGATCAGAACGTACAAATTCCCTTGTCATTTCTCCACAGTCCTTGCAACTTTTCAGCTTCTCAACACAAGAAAGGAAGTGTCGTCTTTCCTCAATAAGTTGTTCCCGCTGCTGCTTGATCTCCTTGCTAAGCATATCAAGCTGACCAATGTCTTTGCGCATTTCAAGTTGGATAACTTCTTGCTGCTTCTTGTTCAGAGCAAGTTCTTCCCTTTCCCTTTCCATTCTATGCCTTTCAGATCTTAATTCTTCCATTTGCTCATTAGTGACTCTCTTCAAGTAATTAATATTAGAATGTTCTCTATCCTTCTCCTCCTCAAATGCTCTCTCCATTTCCTGCAGGCCTTTCTTCATTTCCTGCTCCCTATTCTGCATATCAGCCTCAAGATCTCTATTCTGTGACTCAAAATCTTGAACCATTTGACTATGCTCGAATTGGGCCTTTTCAGCTAAGGCTAACTGCTCATTTCTCATCTTAGACGCAAATAATTCTTTCTCAAGCTTGAGACTGTCCTGCTCCCTCTGTATGTAATCTTGCAATGCATGTTTCTCATTTTTCAGCCTTTCTTCCTCCATGCCTTGTATTTTTTCTAAATTTTCTTTCTCTTCAACAATTTTCTCGAGATCTCTGCTAATTTCAGCTTTTCTCTCATCCAATTCCTCCCACTCTTCCTCAAACTTTTCCCTCTGCTGCTTCAAATCTTCAGTTTCCTTCAAAAGCAACTCATTTTGAAGTCTATAAGTCTTTAATTCCTGCTGCAATTCTGACAGCAAACGGAGGTGCTCTGACCTCTCTTCCTGAGTAATTACCTGCTTCTCTCTCCCTTCACGAATCTGGAGCTCCAGTTGAAGGTTTTCATCCTTTATCTTCTGAATTTCATCTCTAAGATTCTGAAGACACTCTATATCAGCAAGTAATTGTTGCTTTTCCACCTCTAACATTTTCTCATTAACTTTGATGGCTTTCTCATTCTCCTTCGAAGTTTTCAGCTTTGTTTCAAGTTCATTATTTTTCTCATTCAACCTCTCTGATTTCTCATGCAGCGCTTGTTCCCTCTTCAACAACTTTTCTTCCCTGTGGCTGATTTCCAATTCCTTCTGTTCCACCCCATCAACCTTGCTCCTAAGTTCCTTGTTCAGAGTCTCCCTCCTTTCTTCCATTTCCAACTCAAACTCCTGCATTTCCGTATTGAGAATAGCTCTGTGCTTGTCAAGCACCTCTTGAATCTCCACCTGAACAGACCATATCAGACTTCTAGACAAGTTGTATGAATACAAACATTCGAGCTCTTATAAAACAGAAAATTGCACCACATAAAGTTTTGCAATCCATCTTCTTTTTGTACTTTTAGTTTGAGATTAAAAGCAAAAGATATGCATCCGCTCTTATTTTGTCCTCACCTTTCCTTTATTATATGCTAATCTGTTAATGCTTCGAATACCAACACCTTCGAGAAACATGACTTCTAATTTTCAGTTAGCCAACATTTACATTGGCGTACATCCAATACATTTTACAAAAATGTGCTCCTTCAGGTAAAAAAAAACACAAATGTACCCCTTTGAAAAACAAAAATATAACCCAAACACCAATGTACCCATTTAGAAAACACAAATATAACATTTTAGAAAACAGAAGATACAATTTAAGTGTCATAAGTTACATAGCTTAAATATCAGTTGGGACTCACAATTTCTCGCAAACTTAGTTTTTGCTCAAATTCCTGTAAATCCTTCTCCTTCAACTCTAAGATGTTCCTCACAGAATTAGCTTCCTGCAACCAAATTGACATCAGTCAAATGGACAAAAGTGCAATTATACTTTTCTAGAAAAAGAACAAAATAAACTAATCTACACTAGTGACGCACCTTTTCCTTTGATACTAAGTCATCTAGCCGTTTATTCACATCAGCTTCCATTTCTTTCAACATAGTGTTCGAAGCTTCAATCTTCCTTTGTGCATCTTCAATGTCTTTCTCTCTTTGCTTCATAACCATATCATTTTGATTTGACTTTTCCTCCTTCTCATTTAAAGTTCTCCGAAGCTTGCACAACCTCTCTTCCCCTTCTTCTAACTTCCTCTCCCATTCTTTCAATTCTTCCCTTTGTTTGTAAAAAGTTGTCTTGTGAGCCTCTTGCCTAATAAGATTAAGAACAAGTCAGATTTAATTTAAAAGTCTAATGATCCAAAAAACACAGACTACATCATAAATGACAAGATGTCGATTCAGCAAAGAACAGAGGAGCTATATATATATTAGGAGAATGCATATCCTAAATGCAAGTGTCATGGTTGTAAAAGCATACTCCGCACTTAAGGAAAATTGCTCTCTTCGAAGCACACTTTCACGTGCCTCCACCTCTTGCAATCTCATGTCCAACTCTGAACTCTTTCTGTTGACCTCAACAAGCTTGGCATAAGCAGCACACAACTTTGCATCTGTCTCCAAAGACGTTTCTTCAATTCCCACAACTAATGAACTTGCATCAGCCATCTTTGCTTCAGCCTCGCGCCTTATTTGGGCATGCTCCTCGTGCATTTCACGCAAAGCCTTTTCGAGCTGCAGTGACAAAAAATATTTTACAAAATTGACAAAGCAAAATTTAATTACACAAATTCACAAACAACAAAAGGCAGTATACCTGAGCTACACACTGCTTCTCAGCGACCAAGACTCTCCGTAAATTCTCCTCCCGTTTCTCAACCTCAGATATTGCAATCAAGTGCGCAGACTTTTCACGGTTAAGAATCTCTTGGGTTTCAATCAAAGCTTCGGTCAATTGTTCGTGCTTCGAAGCCCACTCTTTCTTCTCAATCAGAAGAAGCCCCATATTATACTGGTAACTAAAAAGCTGCCCAACAACAAATACTTCAGAATTTATTCAGAAAGTTTAAATATTTGTTCTGTAATCGATAACAATTCTCTTAATCATTTTTTATAAAACCAAAAATTAACAATGTTAATATAATCAAAATCTAGTAGCTGACCTCTGTTTCAAGCTTAGAGACCTTCTCGGCGAGAGCTTGGCGGTCCTTGCGCTCCATGGCCGCCTCATCAAGTAACCCGGCCTCCTTGAACGCCCTCCAATCGTCCATGTCACCGCTATCAAATCCCGCAGTCGTATAAGGTCCGCTCTCACTCAGCAAGCCCAATGGCGGAGGCGGACCGTCCACAAGTACCACCGCTTTACCATTCTCAGTATTCCTAGGGTTCGAAACAACGCCGCCGCTCCTCGGCGTCAGCGACAGAGCCGCCGTCGACGCCTTCCTCTGTGGCATAAACATCGTACGCCACAACGAAACCCAAACTCCGTATCACTAATAATCGAGTTACAGTGGGTTGCACTTGCAATACAAGAAATTGAATTGGGTGAATTCTTGAAAACCCTAATTTGGAATGTCCGTACCAACATCTTGTCAATTGGTGGGCCCACGGCACAGATAATGTACAATTATGCATACCAAAAACTAAGATTTTAAGAGATTTTAATTTTTTTAATGAATTTATAGATATTCAATCAAGATTTTAAATGATTTTCTAAAATTTAATGTGTATTCAATCAAGATTTTAAAATAGTTTATTAAAATCCTTAGAAATTCGGGTATATTCAACTATAATTTTAAAGAAGATTATAACATTCAAGGTTCATTAAAATAGAATTTGAATTTTAAGAATTTGAGAAAGTTAAGGAATTAGAGAGAATTAGAGGGATTTTGTAATGTATTTTAAGAATCCACAAATCTTACCTCTCTCTTTGAGATTTCAAGAGAATTGAATTAAAATTTTACCTATAATCTTTATAAATCAATTAAATTCTATAAAAATTCATGGATTTAAAAATCCATAAAAATTTCTCAAATTCTCAATTAAATACATCCCATAAAACGGAGAATAACATTTTAGGCAAACCAATGAAATTACCACATCATTGTCACAGACTTTATTCTCATTTGCCAAACTTCCATGGGCATAACCGTCATTTCGAAGTCGAGACGATTCTCACCCCACGGGTCTCAAAACCCGCTGCCAACACGGCACCAGCCAATTTTTGACGCAAATAAATCGTACAATGATAGAAGAAAAAAAATTAAAATATCTTTATAAATTTTAAAATAAATAATATCAAAGTTAATTTTTTAATTTAAAAATATAATTTTTCGTTAATATAAATAATAATGAAAACTTTTCATTAAAATTCTATACTTTTTTCTGAGCAAGCAAAAATAAAAATCACTGCCACGTCCTCGTTTACCAGACTCTGTACCCATTGGACCGACTTCTCCTCAGATTCCAACGAAAAAGACCGAAAGGTCCCAACCCCCACATGTCGAATTCTCATTGGTCAACCTGTCATTATCGTCAAATTACCTAAATCGCAAAAAATCACAGGGGTTAAATAGGCATACAGATCTCTCCCTCTCCCCCACGAATCCCTCTCTCCCACGAACAGAGAGAGAACCAGGTAATCTCAAAAGCCACCCCCAAAACCAAAACCCTACTCTCTCTCTCCCTTCCTCTCCCCCGTCTTCCTCTCTCCTCCCTCTCGCGCTAGGGTTTCGAAATCGGAGCCATGGCTACGGAGACTGCTGCGAGATCGAGCTCGGCGGCCGATTCGTACATAGGGAGCTTGATTAGTTTGACTTCCAAGAGTGAGATCAGATACGAAGGCGTGCTCTATAACATCAACACCGAAGAGTCCAGTATTGGACTCAGAAACGGTACCGTTTAACTCATTTGAGTTTAATTTTTATTTTTTGTTCTCTGGGTTCTGTTTAGGTCTTGTTACCTAGGTCTGATTTGATTTGATTTAATTGATTTGTTAGTTTATTACTAGTTAATTCGTCGAGATTGGCATTTTTAGGGTTTAATTATTATTGATTTCCGATTTTTTGAATTTTCGGCAACTGTGAATTTGCTATTAAAACTGACTGTCAGTGGCTCAAGGTGCATCTTTGTATTCTATTGCAAAATTTTGTGACTCCTGTTAAAATGTAGACCTTTGTGATTCTAAATAGTTTATCTTTTCTATATTGGTTTTTGTTTCTGTGAAATTATTTCGTTTTGTTTTGATTGAATCATTTATTTTTCTCTATGTACCATTTGATTAAATTGAATTGATTTATTAGTTTATTACTAGTTCAGTCGTCTAGATTGGTATTTTGGCTTAATTATTCTTGATTTTGATTCCGGATTTTTGAAATTTTACTTAATTGTGAATTGGGAAACATGCATGTGTGCGTGGGTATGTAAAGTATAAGATTCGGGTAGTAGCATGTTCTTTGAATTGAGTTAGAAAGTATGATATTGCGATGAATTGGTGTGGCTCAACACACTTCTATGTATATATTGCATAACTCCTCGAGCTTTGGGGTGTAAAAAAAGTACAATCTTTGATTCTACGTATTTAGAAGGGTTACATGGTTTTCTTCATAAGATAGTTTTCACTTTGATTTTTTTTTAATTTTTTTTTTTAAAAAGCATTGCTTCACAGGGTTATGGAATAGTTGTATGAATTGTTTGTCGCATGGATCATAATATATGTATATGCATTGTATCATTAAGTGTTATTGTTGAAATATGGGTACATGAATTGATGTTAACTTGTTACTTTTTTCATGGCACTGGCAGTACGATCTTTTGGAACAGAAGGAAGGAAAAAGGATGGACCACAAATCCCACCAGGAGACAAAGTCTATGAGTATATTTTATTCCGCGGGAGTGATATCAAGGTTGGTACTGAGATGCCTGAGATTGTAGGACTGCACAACAAGTGTTCTATATTTATATCCGATAGTTTACAAAAATAAAAACCCCAAAATCTCTTGACTTTGAGCGTTTAAATTACTCAGCAATGGTAGTTTTCTTCAATTGTAGCAGACTTTAGTTGTTTAGTAATAGTAAAGATCGATTCTGTAATGTTGAAGTTGTTGTTGACTACTCTGTTATGCAAAAACTGAAGCTTAAACATGGTAACTGTTGAAGTAAATGATGATAATGATTTTTGATGAAACTGTAACTTTAATGTGGTGACCAGTTTTGAACTATGTAGCCTGGATTCGCTACTGGTTATATTTTCATGTAAATTTGCAGACCCTAAGTCTTCCATTATTTTTTTTGTTTCCAGGATTTACAGGTTAAGTCTTCTCCACCTGTTCAGCCAACACCACCTATAAACAATGATCCAGCTATTATCCAGGTAAGAGAAGGAATTTTAACTTTTGCATCTAGCTAACCTCTACTAATTTATTATCTCTCTCTCTCTCTCTCTCTCTCTCTCTCTCTCTAACTCTCTTTCCTCTCTTGCAGTCTCATTATTCCCGCCCAGCTCCTTCAACATCGAGCTTGCCTGCTCCAGCTAGTGGATCTTTGACAGATATTAATACCCATGCTCCACAGATGGGACTCCCTGGTCCAAACTTCCAAGGTAGTTTGCCATTATATCAACCCGGAGGCAATTTAGCATCATGGGGGGCTACGCCTCCTCCTCCAGGTGCAAATGGTGGCGCACTTATGCCAATGTATTGGCAAGGATACTATGGCCCTCCAAATGGGCTGCCACATTTACACCAGCAGCACCAGCAGTCATTGCTTCGGCCTCCACCCGGGCTGTCAATGCCTTCTTCACTGCAGCAGCCACTGCAGTACCCCAATTTTAATCCCTCCTACCTACTGGAGCTTCAAACTTGCCTGAAGTTCCAGTGCCCTTGCTTCCTGCTGCTAGTATTAGTTCCTCTAGTTTGACTGCTACTTCTTTATCCCCGTCAACATTGCCAACAAATCTGCCACCAGTGCCTTCAACAACACTATCTCTTGAAACTCTGCCAAGCTCAATGCCTAACAAGGCACCTAGTTCTGCCCCGTCTGCACCTTCTGCAGCCATGCTTGGTGCAAGCTTGCCAGCACTTTCTTCTCTTGCTACTTCAAGCCCAGATATAAGTACTGTTGTGCCACCAATCTCTAACAAACCTCATGCAATTTCTGGTCCCACCTTGCCTTATCCAAGCGTATCTCAGACTACTTCTGTTGCTGGGACATCTACTTCTTTACGCTCGGAAACACTAGTGCCTTCTTTGGTAACCCCAGGCCAGCTGTTGCAGTTTGGATCTACAGTCCCTTCATCTCAATCTTTGCAAACACCTCACAAGGATGTGGAGGTTGTTCAAGTTTCACCACCAACCTCATCAGAGCCATCGGTCCCAGTTTCCACAGAACCGCAGCCACCAATACTGCCACTACCTCAACAACCTGCACGGGCTGGTCAAAAGGTTGTTTTGTCATACATGCATGTGTTACACGTGCACACACACAGAAATGCTTGCATGCTTCTGGACTATTCTGTTTTATTGTGATTCATGCTTGTATGTCTGTTCATGTGGGTGGGTGCACCAAAAAAAAAAAAAAAAAAAAAGGATTGTTATTCAATGGGGCAATTTTCGATTCGTCAACAGGCTTATTAGATTGAGTTGCTATTAGTCAGGATTAGATGGTGTTGGTTACCACTCCCCATGAGAATCTGAATTGCAGGCCTGCCTCTTTGTTTGAGTTTCTTTTTGTTACATTTTTTTTGTTTGATTCAGGTTTTTAAATCACTGAATTGTTAGAAATTTTTGGCTTGATAGTTTCTCTTATTCCTACCAACTCAGTTTTGTCTAGTAGTCAGGGTTTAGGACTAAAGTTCCTGTTTTGAATTTTATTATGTGTTCTCTGGTCCGGTTGGAAGGAGTTCTGACATTGGCTTCTCCCTCTTTCCGTAAATAGGAATATGTGCGTTCTCAGCCAAATGGAGCTCCATACCAAAATCAAAATCGCCAGGGTTATACTTATAGAGAGCGTGAAAGAGGACAAGGAACTGGGGTAAGGAAGTTCTTTTCCCTCACAATTCTAAAAATTTTGAATTTTGTTGGATATAAATGGTGTGTTAAATGCAAACTAAAATGGAAACTTCTTGATTGGAAGTGTTTAGCCGGGAGAAGTGTTTTTATTCTCTTGACTACTTTTAATCTATAGCAATTGGAAAAATGTGAATTAAATTTACTCTTACGAATTAATTTGTTGCAATATTATTTTTCTCAGCATCACTGACACTGACAGTGCCAAATAATTAACATTTTGGTGTGCAGAGTTCACGTCCCATAACAAAATTCACTGAAGAATTTGATTTCACAGCAATGAATGAGAAGTTCAACAAGGATGAGGTTTGGGGTCATCTTGGTAAGAGTAACAAACCTCACAAAGAGGGTGATGGAAATGTCACTGATGAAGATGATATTGAAGATGAAGACGAGGCTGAGTTATCGAAGGTTGAGATCAAGGTGGCATTGGCTATCTTGTTTATCATTGTAGTTAGATGAGTTCTACTATTAGTAATAATCTTTTTACTTCTATCAGCTGATTTTGTTTAATTTTGTTTATGTGCCACAGCCCGTCTACAATAAGGATGATTTCTTTGATACCATCTCGTGCAATTCTATGAGTCATGACCAGAATGGAAGGACTAGATACTCTGAGCAAATAAAGATAGATACGGAGGTAGTGTCCTTTTTGTTTTTGCCATCTTAGTTTTGGGAAGAATTTTTTTAATTTTTCTTAATAATGCGGATGCTTGTTTATGGGTGCAGACTTTCGGCACTTTTTCTAGGTATCGGGGTGGAAGAGGTGGCCGTGGTCCTGGGCGTGGTGGTCGTGGTCGTGGTGGCTACTATGGAAGGGGGTATGGAGGTGGTGGTGGTGGCGGCTATGGGTGGTGGTGGCGGCTATGGAGGTGGTGGAGGCGGCTATGTCCCAAGGGGCCGTGGCAGGGCCATGCCCACTCGTGCTAACTATGAGAGTTAATATTGGTAAAATCTAAAGCCTCATCTGCCCTTCAGAACAGCAAACAGAAATAGGGCTATGCTAGTGTTGTGTTTTTTCCCTCCTTATTTATGCTTGTCCAGAAAATAAATAGAAGTAAATGCCTTTTCCAGTATCGAATTGCCTGTCGGTCTGTATGTGTTTCTTCCCTGACTTCAACATTCCTTTTTATTGACCTAATCAAGAAGCACCGAGTTTAGTGAAAGAAACTTTCTGTTTAATTTCTTCTTGATGGATTCATGGCGCCCGTTGGCATTCAGGTTTTAGAACTGACCACCTTACAGGCATTCTTTCCGACTGCAGTCGTGATAATTTTTGCCATGGGGATGTGGATGGCCAGCTGATATCGTTGTGGTTATGGTTAAAGTCATATTCCGACCGACTGTCGATTGTCGGATGTTTGTGCATGTAGTGTTGGTCGATTAGTTTACGGCATGATTGAGTCGGACGGGATACCCCTCTCTTCCTCGTCTAGGAAACTAGACAATTCATTTAACATACGGTTGGGGTATTACATATCAAAAATATTTCCGAATCAAAACAAAGAATTAGTAAAGACGCTTCTTGCGTTATATGTAAGAAATTGTCTCTCTTTATGTGTAAATAACAATGTAACAAATACACAAATGTAGTTTGTTAAATTCACAAAAACAGAAGTCGCAAACTGTGTGATTTTGCTCTGTGTTTTCATTTTTGTGTCTCGTGTTATTCGAATTCGTCAAGTTGGTCATAAAACTATTAATTTGACATCGTTAACTTGGTAGATATGGAACTGCCGGCTTACTCAAAACTTGGCATTTTCTTTGTTGTGGCTCAAATTCCGCAACAATCAGGTTACCAGATCTTTCTTTTTTCAATTAACTTGACGAAATGGAATAAGCTTAAGCTACAATTAATTAGCTTAAGCCAAAAACGTTTTCAGTAAAAGTGCTTTATGGTGGTGCTACATTAGAAAGAACTTGAATTTTCAATAGTAATTTCTGACACGCTTATGGGCATAAGTGTTTCTTATAAAAGTCACAAACTGCCCTCCCTCAACCTTAATAGATTTCCGATTTGCAGTGATTGATGGGATTCCTGAGCTTCTGGCATCGAGGGGAAGTTCACGCGGTGAGGGTAAGGGTGTTGCCGTGGCACTTCTTCATCGGACTCTACACATACAGTTTGGCGGTGGCAACGGCGGAAACGGGGGGCCTTTGGAGAAGTTGACATTCTTACAAACAAAGAGGAATGTGTCTAAACAATTTTTCTGATTTTTTACTCATCTAGTCATCTTTGTAAGAATGCAATTTAGTCATTGTCAACTCCGTAAAACTTTCCGGCAAATGAGTCACGTGCCACGCAGATTAAATCAAGGGGGCATGTCTTCCTATTCTTAATCAAATTTTGTTCTATTTTTTACGCATCTAGTCATCTTTGTAAGAAAGCAATATAGCCATCGTCAACTCTGTCAAATGAGTCACGTACCTTGCACGTGAGATTGAATTAAAGGGCAAATATGAAAAATGAAATAAGAAAATTGTGATCACTCAACTTTATCTGAAGTAATGATCTCTCAACTTTAACTTGATTGTAGCAATAGTTCTTCCATGAGTAATTTTAACGAAGATTCTGGCCGAATTGACGAAAATGATCATAGTTGCACGTTTTGATAAGTTAATATATCAATGATAATAAATTTTTAATTGACGAACTATTATTCTAATTAAGTTAAAAGTTAAATAACGTGATGGATATTTCATTTTATGTGACCAAACCAAACAGATGCCATTGCCACCCGCTACTTCTCACCTCCCAGTCCCCGACCCAAAACCCTCTCCCCCTCTCTCTCTCTCTGCAATTACAAATTTCGGCATTTCTCACGTCCCAGTTCCCACCGTAAATCCAAAGCCCTAATCCCCAAATCTCGTTCAAATAAAAAGTAATCAATAATCATGTGCTCATCTTGTGCGCCACCTTCTTCCTCCCTTTTCCTTCCCACATACACTTCCTTCCTCCTACGACGCCGCACTCTCTCCCCGAACTTAACTCTCCTGAAACCCAAATCCACAAGGCCCAGACCGCGCTTCTCTGCTTCGCTCGCTCAGCGAAACCTCGACATTTCATGGTTCCCCTCGGACCAATCAGCCAACGGCGACTATGGCGGTTGGGCAATCGTCGATTCTCCGGTTCCCGTAAAAACCCAGGTCTTGATTACTCATAAATTTAATTACTTTCGTAAAATTGAACATAAAGATTGAGACTTTTGTTTTAATTTGTTGCGTTGTTGCAGGGTTGCCTAAATTTGTAATTGGGGGCTTTGGGGCTTCACTGGCGGTAGTAGTCGCCGCCATTGCTTACTTCTCGCTGTCTAAGAAAGGTCTGCGTTTTCATGTATTGGTTCTTTTGATGAGTTACTAGTGATATTAAGTTTCCATTTAGTGAATTATTGTTCAATCAGGTTAATTTGGGTACTTGATGTTAGGGTAACAGCTCTAGTAGTTTTGAATGATCAGGCATTTGCTAAATTGTGTGTTGGGTTGGGCATACTACATTGTTCTCCTTTTGTAGGTTTTAAGTTTCAAATTACGAGTCCGTTGCATGCTTTTCACGGGATATTGAGTCGGGACTCTGATACTGAAACTGCAAACCAAGGAGCATTGGATGAGTATGCCATGGTCCCTGAGGCAAGTCCACAGACTGTTCCTATAGCTGAGAGCGGAAATGTTACTTCAGGTACATCAAATTGAACGTTTCTTTAGCAGTTCAACTTCCTCTTCAATATCTGAATTATCTTTATATTGATGAATTCCGGGAGATTTTCTTACTTGTCTTTTGTCTAATTCAGCATCCGTGAAGAAGCTTGAACGCATTATAATCCCAGTTGCTGTAGATTCTACTCAACAGGAAGCTCTGGCAGTTTTGAAGAAATTGAAGGTGTGCTTCTTTATTGAGCGCTGTCAAGTCTGGACTGAGTCTCTCTGCTTTTTCTTCTTAGCTTTTGTCCATTTCAATGCCTAAGTGCATCTAAGTAGGGCCTTTAAGGTGCTGATATTTCTTAGTCTTGTCTGCATTTTCGAAGTGAAGAACAAGGAACAGAAGCTTAAAAACCAAAACGGTGCTGAGATATGAGTGGCATAGTCACTGATAACAAGTTTATTGGAACAGTGTTTAAATAATAATTTTGAATACCCACGGAAATTACAATTGATATTTGTAAAGGAGGATTATTTTACTTTTCACTATCAGTGACGTTTTTATGTTCTTGAAATTTTGGACCTGTCTTGTCCTTAATGTTCTATATCACTGAGGCTTTGGGTCGAGTTCTGAGCATGATTTTGTCAACTGTAATTAAGGTACACAGATTATTGAAGATGATGTCAAGGCTGATGAATTGTGTACTAGAAGGGAATATGCAAGATGGCTAGTTCAATTAAGCTCATCACTTGAAAGGTAGTAATTTGTACGTACACTCCTTGAAATATATTTTATTTGTTTTGATGAGATCTTTAGGGTGGTATTTCCTTAGATATTTTTTATTTACTTTGTAGGAATGCAAAGCACCGGCTTGTCCCATCAGTTTCACTTGCTGGATCCATAGTTTCTGCATTTGATGATGTGAATATTGAAGACCCAGATTTTGGGTCCATTCAAGGTAAGGATTGATTCATTTACCTGCAATTGATAGGTCTTTGTTCTATAGAGATTAAAGTTTGAAACTTTGCTTATGCATCGTGTCCCTAAGCCCTGGCGGAGGCTGGTGTCATCCCTAGCAAGTTATCACAGAAGAGCTCCAGTAATGATGGTCTAAACGGCCATGGAAACATCAATTTTTCACCTGAGAGGTAGAAAGTATGCTTGATTTTTGTTTAATATTTTGAGTTTCCTTTTATAATGTATACTAAAACAATACATTGTGCTGCAGGTTTATCTCTCGACAAGACCTAATTGATTGGAAGGCCCATTTAGAGTATGACTTTTTGCCCGGAGTAATACAGAAGGTAAAGAAGGCATCGAACATTATCATCAATGGGTGATTTTTCCCCCAAGAGTAAAGTATGCCTCTTCATAGGTTTTAAAACCTGACTTATTTACAGTCCAGATATCAACCACAGCAACAGTAGGTTTTATGGATGTGAAAGAGATCAGTTCAGATGCACCAGCAGGACTATATAGAGACATGCTGACAGAGGAAAATAGCATACTCAGAAAAGTTTTTGGTATTTCCCAGTTTCTTTGTCTATAAATTAATTTAACAATTTCAAGCATGCACACATCGCACACGAGTAAAGAAATATGCATAAAATTAAACACGCATATATCATGTGTTTGAGTTGTTATTTGTACATTTTGGTGAGCTTTTGCTACTGCTGTCATTTGAAGTACAATCTAAGGAAGTTAGGTTGCTTTAGTCTTTAAAGGTAGAAGAAAAGCAAATGTGAGGATTTGATAAAAGGCACTAAACTGAGAGAAGGAAGATCTGTTAGATGCTATCGAACTTGATGAATACCTTACGTTTACTTTTGAAAACTAACAAGCAGATATATAGGATCACATGAATGTTATTGTTTCTCTGTATGTACGAGGTCTATTCTAAGAACCCCATGACATATTATCTTGCAGGACAGTGCAAGCGGCTTCAGCCAAACAAACCTTCAACAAAAGCACAAGCAGCAGTGGCGTTGACAAGTGGCAGGATCGTGGAATCAATTTCTTGTGAGTTGTTGAGAATAAAGGCTGAAAATTCTGCAAGGAAGGCTGAGACGGAAGTTATCAGGTCCGAATTGCTCGACAGGGAAGAGATACAAAAGTTTTGGGATGAGAAAATGAATGCGGAGAAAACCCGTGGTCTTGAGGTGGAGAAGGCTTATCTTGCTGCCCTTAGTGATTTGGAACAGGAGAAGATTACCCAAGAAAAGAATTTTTCCGAGATTTTAAAGGAGAAGGCAGCTATGGACTGCCAGAGGCAATTACTTCTCAGTCTCAAGAAAGAGGTCAATGAGATGTCTGAAAAGCTCGCATCTGAGAGGTCTACTTATGTTGCTGAGAATTGTGATTTGCAGAATACGCTCAACGATTTAGAGACAAAGCAGGAAAGTATGCTTGATAGGAAATCCATACTTGAAGCTGAGATAGAAGCTATTCGGATCCTTAGGTATCACCCATCTCTGCAGCTATTCATAATAATGCATAGACACATATTTTACTCGAGAGCGTGATAAAATGTAGTCATAATTAGGAACATTTCGAGTTTAGGTTTGGTTATTGCTCTCGGTTTTTTCTTTCTAAAGCACGTTTTGCATCTAGTAGCTTCAACTTTTCTGTAACATACAACAGGAAATTGTTATGAAGCTTCATCAAAAACCGAAAACTTTAATCATGGCATGGATATGATATACAATTCCTCATAATTTTACAAAATGATGCAGATCGTGGGTAGAAGATGAAGCAAGAAGAAGCCAAGCTCGTGCCAAGGTACTTGAGGAGGTAGGACGAAGGTGGAAATGGGATGACCAGGCCCCTTGACGGGATGTAGAGAGATATAATCCTCGTTTTTTTATAAGATCAGAGTTGAGCAATTCACAGGGAAGTTCTGATTATTTTCCGGTGTAGGTTTGTACAATTTCGAATGCAGAATGCCATTGGCATGAGCAATCTGAATGATTTGTCCATTGTATGTATCCAGAAAAATCAATCGGGAAAATAATGTGATATTATGACGGTTGTGCTTTTGAGTAACGCAGTTGAAGTGTGATATCTGAAGCTTTTGGTGATGTTTCATAAAACTCTTCGAGTGTAAAGTTTTTGACCAAACAATCAATCCCAATATGCCATAATCTCTCACGACTTATTGGCGCTGCGTTTTGTTTCTTGGCCATAACGAGTTTTGATAGAATATGTCTTGTTTATTTTGAAGTAATTGAATGGAATGACCATCGCAATTTCAAAAATATTTATGACTTTTAGTATTTTTTCAGTGGCTTCTCTTGCATTACAGAGCATGAGCGGTTCTGTTGTCGAATTGTTAGTTTATTTTGGAGTACTTACTAGTCAAAAATATCTTTTAATGACAATAATATTAACTACTTTCGGATGGGAGAGATTTTGAGATGTCACCTGTTGTACACAATTATGTGTTTAATTTTCATATCACATGACACAATGACATAGAATTAGCAATGAGACAAAGATTCATTCAAAGAAAATCACATCATTCACCACTACAGGAAATGACTTTTTAGCCAAAATAATCATTAAAATTGATATAACTCTTTATTTTGATCCTTAAGCTTTAAAATCGATAGAAGTGGTCCTTGTGTTTGTCCACCGTCAACTATTCAGCGTCAACTATTCGGGTCATTTCGTGAAAAATTTTCGTTGAATTGTGGATATTTTTGTCAAATCAACCCCTCAACTTCTGTGAAAAATGCTTTCAATTCAATGGAGATTTTTCACAAAAAGAGTAAAATAATTGTTGATAGACAAACTTAAGGACCACTCATATTGATTTTAAATATAAAAAACTACATTAAGAAGTTATACTAATATCAGGAACATTTCGGCTAAAAAGCCAAAAAAAAATCCCATCCGAGATGGGGTAAAAGGGTAACTTCATACGCGTCGCGGTCAAAATTCAGTCAGCCGTTTTCCGTGACAAAAATAGGAACGCAAGGCGGTGAAAAAGTTATGCCCGCTCAGTTGTTTACTTCCTCCCGTTTACTGCACTTGCTCTGTCTCTCCGGTCAAAAATCCCAGCTCTGGCCACAAGCAGCTGTATTTTCGCCCGCTGTTACAGTCTCTCAGAAGCCCAGATGGTATGCATTTTTACCCACCTCCAAATTTACATACTTTTTCCTTTTCATCTTGTTTCTTATCAACTGGATAATCATAATCCGAAAGTGACCACAGTTTGTTTCATCTGGTGAAAACGCATATTGTAGTTGTATGTTGTAAAATTTTCTTGTATGCACCGGTGTTTTTGGCCGTTAAATTCTTCGTCATTGATCCATTGACCAACATTAAACGGCCAAAAATCGTGGTGCATAGAAATACACCGGAGCATAGTAGAATTTTCGCGTATGTTGCAGCTTCCTCTTCTCTGAGGGCCAGCATACGGAGAAACCGCAGCCCCAAAAATCCATGTTTAGACAATGGGAGTTTGGCTTCTGCTGTGGATTGTGGGGCCCACATGATTTATAACCCAGAAAACGATTTTCCTTGTAATCTTCCCTCCCTGGCTTTGCATTTGCACATCTGCAATTTTCTTCTCAAATAGTATGTCCTCTTTTGACAAGTTCAAATCACAAATTCCTCCGCCAAACAACTCGGTTTCAATTCTAAGGATGATTCTTTGTTATGTTATGGCCTTATGGGGTCATTTGCTGGCCGCACTTCCCACCACAAATCTCAGTTTCCAAAATCTCATCCATAAGTTTTTGTGGGAATGCTGTCATAATTGTACACTTTGGGGGTAACTTTCGGTCACAAAGTTTGGAGTGGGAGTAAGGGCTCGTTCGGGATTGCTTTTGTAGGATGCACTTTTGTTCAAAAGCCTTTATGCCAAAAGTTCTTTTATTAGAAACACATCGGAATGTTTGTTGATAATTCAAGTGCTTCGTGCTTCTTGGAGAAGCATCTGACAAGTGTTTTTTCAGAAAACGTTCTATGGGGCTCAGAAGCACTTCTAACATTTTCTGTCAAACGCAGTCAGAAGAAATGTTTTTAGCCTTTTCAGAAGCAAATCCCGAACATTCCACTAAAAGAGTAGAATTTTACGCTATGTGAACAGACTTATTGGTAAAAATCATGTCTTGCATGCTCAACCCATCATATGCAACACTTGCTTACCGATTACACACAAAACCAACCACAAAGATACAAGCTTTTAGGGAAATGCCAAAAAGGGAAGCAAGTGGGTTTGCAGGTCAATCACCCACAAAAGTTGGGTTTATTTTGCATTGTGTTTAGCTACCTCTGAGAATTAAAATTACAGCCAAACAAAACATTGCTTACTTGAAATAGGAGTTCTTTCATTTGGGATTCTGGACCCACCTTATATCAGATTGATTTCTTACCGTTTATCAATGTTTGATTTCTGCAGATACCAAGTTTGTCAAATGGATCAGAGGGCAATGATTGGCCATGTTTTGTCTTTCGAGCTTCTGATCAACCTAAAGCTTGATTGATTGGGCCATGTCATTGGGCGCTTGAGACAAATATGACCACCCAAATTAAAATGGTATCTTGATATTACCTAAAACAAGTAAGGAATGCACGTAACTGCAGTTAAAATTTACGTTTTCTAACATTTCAGCTTTGGTTGTTTAACTGCTAATGTTCCTTAAAATCTTTACAGTGACATGTTTGGACCCACCAATTGTGAACTTTCAATCCTTTTGGAGAAGATTGGCCACTAGTTATTGGTGGTTGCTGTAGCTCTTAGCATTAAGAGTTGTGCTGGATTGTTTACTTATCAGGAACTTCCTGGCAAGCAAGCATTCTTTAATGTTTGGTCTACAAACCTCAGAAGGTGATAGCTGATGGTGTCAGCAATGTTTATACTTCATAATTAGATTTGGCTACTAATATACTTATATATGCAAATGGTCTGGGATGTGTACAGTTGGATATGGATATAGGAAAGGGATTGTTTTCTTAATCTCTCTTGGGAATTACAGATTCTGGGTTGCTGTTTCTGCATTTCTGGGGCCTTAAAGGTTTGAATTAGCAGCTATGTGTTGGGGGAGAAGCTGGCAGTGCGGTGTTTTGGAAGTTGGTTATCTTTATAGATGAGTGAGAGCTTGAGCTTTCCCCATTTGCAATACCTTCATGATAGTCAGGTTAAGCCTCCTGGTTGCTGCTACCATTGCAGCGATTGCAGCAAGGCAGCACAGCATAAAAAACTCGGGTTCATCAGCCTCAACAGGCAGGCATTCAGGTATTCATCTCCATGAGTTCCATAAATGTCACTTCTTTATTAATTTATTGGAAAAAAAAATTATATTATGTAAATATTGTTTGCAACTGAGCCATGTTTAGTAAATATTGTTTCAGAGACGAGCTATGTTTTACTTCCCCTTCTTTTTACAAATTTTTAATTTTTAATAATCTTAATTCTTATAATTCTTACTGGTCATATTGTAACTCAGAAAATGGTGAAGCAAACAGTAACCATCATAGCGAGAAGGAAGACGAAGAGCGACTTACATATTCTAATGATAGCCTCAGAGAGAAGCATGTACGTACATAACAAACTTTTATCAAAGTCCCATCCCTTTTGCAACATCATAACATTGGCAGTAAATTTTATGTTCCCTTCCTTTACCTGTAGGTTTTGGAATTTTTTTTACTTCGGAAAAAAAAAAAAAAAAAAAAAAAATCTGTTTTTAGTTAACTAAGAGTGGTACGTATTGCAGAAAGAAGAAGAGGAGGAGGAGGAGGAGGAAGACGAGGAAGAGGTTAAGTTGATTAGCAGTGTTTTTAACCATGCTAGCGATATTTCACCTGGTGATATCCAAGATGAAGATATTTTACCTGAATTTGAAGATCTTTTATCTGGGGAGATTGAAATCCCATTACTTGTTAACAAGACAGATACAAAAGAGAAAGACATATATGAAACTGAGATGGCAAACAATGCAAGTGAGCTGGAACATTTGCGTAATCTAGTAAAGGAATTGGAGGAAAGAGAAGTAAAGCTTGAAGGTGAATTACTTGAGTACTATGGATTAAAGGAACAAGAATCAGACGTTTATGAATTACAACGACAACTCAAGATTAAGACAGTGGAGATTGGCAAGCTCAATATTACTATTAACTCTCTGCAGGAGGAGAGGAAGAAGCTTCAAGAAGAGCTTACACAGGGAGCTTCCACCAAGAAGGAGCTAGAGGCAGCTCGGTACAAAATCAAGGAGTTGCAGAGGCAGATTCAGCTTGATGCTAACCAGACAAAAGGCCAATTACTGTTGCTCAAACAACAAGTAACTAATTTGCAGGCAAAAGAAGAAGAAGCGGTAAAAAAAGATGCTGAAATTGAAAAGAAGCTGAAAGCTGTGAATCAATTAGAGGTGGAAGTGGTGGAGCTTAAGAGAAAGAACAAAGAACTTCAAATCGAAAAGAGAGAACTAACCATCAAGTTGGATGCTGCTGAAGCAAGAGTCGCAACGCTCTCCAACATGACGGAGGTTAGTCTTACTGCTTTCTTGCATTGCATTATATGCACGTCTTTCTTTTCTGTTCTTTTTTGTTTTTTTTTTTTATATATATGAGACAAAGAGAGAAGATTTAAAACATTGGCATGTAAGTTTCTCGTTTTTTTTCTTGGCCAGATATGTAGTTTTTCTTTTTGTTTCGGCTATTTTGGTTTAGGCTGTAGCCCCTGACTGTTACGGGTTGATACTTGAGACTAGAAAGATTGAATGATTTCTTTGTTTATCAAAAATAATTCAGCAAGCTGGTGGAAAACGCACAGGCTGTTTAACAAGTATTGTGAATGAAACAATACTTACACTAGTTTTTCTTACGCTTTCTTCAGACTGAAATGGTTGCTAATGTAAGAGAGGAGGTCAATAATTTAAAGCATGCAAATGAGGACCTATCAAAGCAAGTGGAAGGTCTTCAGATGAACAGGTTCAGTGAAGTTGAAGAACTAGTGTACCTTCGTTGGGTGAATGCATGCTTGAGGTATGAGCTCCGGAACTATCAGACACCTCAAGGAAAGGTATCAGCTCGTGATCTCAACAAGAATCTGAGCCC